CCCTCGCGGGGCAGCGCGCTGCCGAGATTTGCTGAGGACCGACACAACTCATCTCACCCCGTGACAAAACAAACGCCAAATCCACAGAGCACCTGCAAAGCGCAGTGCCCTTCCCTGCGTGCCACAGGGACGCTCCGAGTGCCACAGCCGCTCCGAGCTCACAGTGGTGATAACGGGTGTCCAACACCGGGTGGCGGCGGGTCCGCAAAGCCGGCCGTGCGGTGACACGGCCCCGCGCTGGGATCGGGGACACGCGGGACGGCGCCACGGGAGGAGCCACGGCCGCAGCAGCCGTCTCCCGGAGCGGAAAGGGCGGCGTGGGGTGACACCGTGTGGCCGCAACCCGCCTTGCAGGCTGGCGGTGAGCTCGGGGAGGGATGCGGAGGGATTGATGGCTGCCCATGGGTAGCTCTGAGCCCGACGGCTCTGCGAGAGAAGCAGCGGGACGAGGGGCTGCACCACGGGCACTCTGCTCCCTGGGAGCACCGACAGCGCCCTGGAAACCCAGCGGGAACTGGACTGTCTTATCGAGTGGCAGAGTTCGGCTGGGGATGGCACAGCTGGAGGCAGGGAGCTGCCCACCTGCCCTCAGGAGGCATGCCGAGATGCAGCACAGCAAAGAAAGGGTGGAGAGCAGCTACGTGATGCTGCGCAGGGAGAACTGATCTTATTAATAAAAGCTGCTTCTTCCCAGGGTCTTGATAATCTCTCCTGCTGCAGATTATTTACAGCTGTGGAATTTAATACTCCAATGAACAAAGCTCCCCGAAGCAGAGGGAGTGAGCTGTTAACCCTTCTGCACAGCTCTCGGCTGGGGTTTGGCATTTTGATGCCACAGCTACACTGAATCCCAGCACCCAGATCCAAGCCAGGCTGATGGCACAGAGCTGGCTTATCTAGGGGAGCAGAGCCTCAGATACCCAGATTTGCCAGCAGCACCCAGCCTTTGCACAGCATCAGAGTCACCTACACCTGCCCTAAAACCCCAGTGTGTGCCTCCCAGGTTACACAGTCCCTTTGCTCTTGACTTGCAAGATTCTCTTTCCCAGCTGGCAGAACAGGGATCTCACCCCACCCAGCTACCACCCAGCTACCCCAGGCAGCTAGAGATGGAGGTTGTGTTAGGCCCAACTTCCAGTGGCCCAAAATTTGCACAGCCCATTAACTCTGCGTGTCCCAGTTCTTACAAGCCGTTAAGATTCACTCTACGTTCCTCAGAAATGCAAGATACTACCTGCCGGCCACGAGCAGAACATTTCACCATTGAGTTTTCCAGCAAGCAATGTGAGATGCTGTAAGTGCACTGAGCAGACACCTGTATGCCCAGGAGCTGTGGTGGGTCTAGACTTGATACCCCAGGGCCCCTGTCCTCAGCTCACCTGGCTGCAGGTGAGGTCCCTTGTTCTGCAAGGCACATCAGGGGCAGAGTGGCAGGCCAGGGAAGCCAGTAAAACCAGCTGTTTGCTGCTTCCAGCATCAGGAATCACAGCTATAGGGTGCCTAGGGCTGCCAAGGGCCTCCTGGAAGAGGACCAAGAGCCAAGCAGAAACCTCAGGAAGCAAGGGGCGCGATAACATCTCCCATCCTACCACCTCCTCACTTCATCACCTGCTCACAACAGTGAATTCTCTGGTACCAGTGAAGACTAGCAAGCTAGAGCAATAAATTCTTTAAACCCGAGAGATGCAGATTACACAGAAAGAGAGGAGTGACATGGGATGACATGGCCCAGCAGGGAACATTTGGTCCAAAGCCTGCAGCTTGCTTTGGGAAGCATTCCAGTACCCGGCCCCAGGGCTCATGTTTGTTTTTAAAGAACAACATTACGGCACAGAGTTCTATAGCCTTGAGCCGCCTGCAGAAGAACCTCTTATTTCAGAAGCCCAGGTGACAGCCTGCTTGCAGCGACCACACCACAATGATCAGGTACATCACCTCCCTTTGGGGAAGGTGTGTTTGCTGTTACTGCTGAACACAGTCACCCTCGCTGCCACAGAGGAGAGTGCTCAGGCTCATTTTCAGCTCCGTTAAACCAGTTGTACTTACTGGTGTCCTGGAGCAATGAGTTCCATGGAGTAACTGATGCTATGGGGAAAAAAGAAAAGCTGGCAAATGAGGCCAGCAACTTGCTTTTGACATATGTTGTGATCCCCCTCCCAGCCCGCTATGTCCCCTGCTGCCTTCCTTGATCCCACAGTCCCTCTGCCGTGCTGGCATGGGGCCACAAGCCTATCTCCTAGCCTGTCTCGAGGCAGATGGAACCCATCAGCTCCCTGCAGCATCCCTGAGCGATAATCTGTCTTGCCCGTTTCCTTTTGAGACACCCCTTCTCACGGCCAGCTAATCCCCAGTTTGCCTTCCTCTGTCAAGCCCTGGGCCCCAGCAGCCAGCCCTACCCCATGTCTTTTCTTGGCACTGGTCATCTCTCCCTGCCCTCGCAGAACACCCTAAGAAGGGACCACTTTCCCTCAGGACCAACCAAAAAACATCTGGTCACATCACCAGGGGTACAGGCACCCCGTAGGAGCAGAATCTGACCTCAGTCCCACATCCAAACACAAGGAACAGCACTAACCCAGGGACACAGGCAGAGCTGTCCAAGAAGGCACATTTGTAAAGATCCGTGAGCAATTCCTTGGGGCAAAAATAGGGACTAAGGAAGGACTCTGAATTCCGGTTTCCAGCTTCCTTTACTCTCCACAGCAGCTCACAGCTCCTCCAGAGGCTGCACAGGAGATGAGAGGATTCCTCTTTGGCACCATCCCCTGCTGGGAAACTTTCCCATAGCAAAACCATTTTAATGGCAGAATAATAAACAGGGAGAGGGGAAGGGAAAGACAGCCAGCCTCCTTCAAGGAAAGTACCTGCAAGAATCACTACCCCCTGGAGAAACCAGGTTAATTCCATAAAATCAAAATACTTGGGTTGGAAGATCACCTGGTTCACTGCATCCCAAGCACAGCATGGGGCAGGCTCCAAGCCCATGCAGGCAGGTACCCCGCAGAACAAGGGTCTGCATGTGGGTCCTGCTTGAAGGAGAGACCCCAGTGAGAAGCTGCCCCTGGTGAGCGCCTGGGATTTGCCAAGCGCAGACGTAGTGTCCCAGAGCAGTGATTTCTGCTGAGGCCACGTTCCTTGTCAGGAAAAGACACTTACAGACTGCAGGAGCTGCTCGGTGGGATGTGCTGAGCTTAGCTGTCTGCATGTCTGCTTATTAAGCTCCGAGGTTAAGGATTTAGTTCCACATATCAGTTTACTTATAAATAAAGTGTCTCTCCATATTTTAATCTCAAGTCTGCTCCATTGTCTTGCCTGCTTCCTCTGGTGCCTTCTCCCCATGACCTCTATCCCTGCAAAATGCTGCAAAGTTATTAACAAATATTCTGTGAAATATTTAATATCCAAACAGCAGGGTCCACGCATCCCATGAGGAACTCGTAGCCCTTATGGTCAGGACAAGAAAAACAAAAATTGTTTGGAGGTCCTTGTATCCTACCAGGGAACTGCTTCAAGGCTGGAGTTGTTGCTAAGCAAGACCAAACAATCCACTTGAGTAGCTCTGCGAGTGAGTGACAGATTGGGTTAGGTGGAACCAACTGGACTTCTCTTCCACCACGCAGATGGCCTTGCACAGAAACCAAATGCAGCAGTGGAAAGCTATTTTTCAGTCTTAGGTTAGCAGAAGTAAATTTTTTTTTCTGTTCTCAAAAGGGTACACATTTTGAGGGAATTTACATTCTCCCATTTTCAGGAGACACACACTCTTTTCTACTTGAAATACTAAGTTTGCCTCTGCTACACTTCCCAGAACCCCAGTGATCGCTGCACTTGGGCAGGATCCCAACCTGAGCAGCCCCAGCAAGACCCACCTTTGCAGAAGTAAGTCTCCAATGCCTGAGGTCGCAGAACACCTCTCACAGCTCCACAAGCCGCTAGATGGCCAGCGTGCACACCCAGGGATGTTTGGCCAGCAACTGCAGCTCCTTCTAGGAAACAACAGGAGGGGACCCAGCCACGCTTCTTGCTGCAACCAGAATGAGCTGTTTGTTCACTAACCCGCCCAGCAAAGCGACATAAACGTCACCTTCCAGCAAAGAAATCTCTCCTTGAAAGCAACTGTATTCAGACAGCCTGGAAAGACTGACATCAGCTGGGCACCTGCTGTGCTGCTTCCTCCAGCAGGCAGGCTGAGGGCTTACTGGCAACAGCCTGGGGCCTGGGAAGGTCTAGAGCAGCAAATCCAGCTTTTTCTGGCTCATGGAAAGCAGCAAAAAAGTGCTGCAGGCAGAGGGAGGTTTTGCCTGTATTGAACTGGGAAGCTGATAGGCTTAGGCTCCTCTGGTTCACAGGGAAGTTTTACTAAGGAGAACAGTGCAGCTCCTTCAAGTTCAATTTAAACACAGATTGTTGTCCAATCCACGTTACTTAGAGTAACGGAGCAGGAGGGGATCCAGGGCTCTCCCACATCCTTTTACCCACTGCAAGCACCAAGTTTTTCTGCCTGGCTTCATGTGAACAAAGCAGTTTGGCTCCTGGACTACAGTTACCCCTGAACACAACAGCACAGCACCTACACACTGTTGTGCCTAAGTTTAGGAAGCACTTCTGGACAATAACTGGCCTTACCAATGAGTACATGCTGCCTATCAGCAACAGATAATGGACAAACCTAGGTTCTCTGATGCAGTCTCAAAAAGCTGCCTGGAACTGAAATGTTTCTTCCTGTCAAACTTTCAGTCTCAACCCAACCCTTGTACTGTCCAGAGAGAACAGAAGTTAATTTCCTGAGGTTGATCAGGTGGAAAGCATAGGCCATGTCCCAAACCTACCACATTCTCCCTCCCTTCCCAGCTCTGCTATGTCCTGTTCAACCGCACACCACCAAAGTTGCAGGTCATCAGGTTTTCCCTATCCCATTCACTCCTAAAATCTTCTTTCTGAGGCAAAGATGTGGAAACTAACACTTTTCTTGAAAGGACCAACAATTCATTACACTGCTCTCATCTCTCCTACTTTATTATAAGTGAATCCATTTTGTACATTCCAGAACCATCAGGCCAGGGACTGGGCTTTGTGTCTTGCTCCAGCAGAACTGTGAACAGTCGAAATAGGGAAAACAGAGCATAAGCAGTACAAAACAATGCAGATTTTCATCTTCTTACTTTAATAACTGGAGACCAAAGTAACACCAGCAGAGCAGTGTTAGTATAGGACCACTTCCCAAACATGCTGTTTTCTCTTCTGGAGAAAAACAAGGCATTTCAGAATTTAAATTAGCTGTTTGTATGTCATAAACAGGAAAAGAGATTCTTAATTGACCTCAACTTCTGCGTGTTTCACCTTTTTCTAGAAAAGGACCAAGGAACAGGTACTGTAGGAAAGGGTATGAACAGGATTGCCAGAAATCTTTAACTCTCACACAAAGTTGCGGGCAATGGCCAAAACTTTGGAGAACTCTCCTTCTCTCTGCCGCAGGATATAGGGTATGGGTGTTTTTATTCTAGTTCCTAACGGATTTCCGTTGTCTTCTATGAGCACCACATTGTTAGAATCAAACCTAGGCGTCATGTGAGGACCAGGCATCTTGTGTCCTACAATCAAAGCCTTCTTCTTTTCTCCTTTGATAGCCAGAAGGATCTTATCTCCTACTTTGCCAACTCCAGTCTTGTTATACACGTGGATACACTTTGGTGGCCGGTGGTAGGGCGCGTTTCCCAAGGCACTGTTGTCCACCACTCGCACGCGAGTGAGTTTCTGTATTGCTCGGCATGCTCCACTGACACTGGCAAAAGACAGGAAAGAATGAGAGACAGATCTCCCCAGTAATCCTTGGGGAGCAAGGGCAAAGCCAGCACGGGATCTTGTGCCTACAAAACCACTCAGAAGTCGCCAGCAACAAATACGTACCATATGGCTGACACATCCATTGCATTCAGTGCGTTCTCTGAAAGCCAGATGCTACTACGAGCTTTGCACACTCTTCAGTAAACATCAAACATAAGACAACGGTTCTACTCTGAAACATGACTAAAAGAAGAGTGGCTTGTATTTACTGCCTGTATTTTATTTTTTTTTTAAAGCAACTGTGGATGATTCAGTTCAACTTCAATTTACAACCAAAAAAAATGCACTTGCTTCTCCCACAAACAGGAAGCTAAGACTCAAGTCAGCCTCTTTCAGTCTTGTACACAGTACCCAGCAATTTTCTGACCAATCTCCTCCTCAGTGAAGTGCATGAGGTGCTCTCACCAACCTTATTCTGCTCTCAATGAGAACTCTGAGTCCCACTGTGGCTGTGCTAAGCTGCTGCCAATTAGAATCACCATCCCCATGTGGGAGGAGCCCAGAAAGAAGATTCCCTTCTGTGTCTGCTTGCACTGTGGGAATATCAGGAGTAGCAATAAATAACAGCAATACACTGCATGGTTCTAAATCAGTAGATTTGACTTTGAATACACTTGAGAGCAGCAGGGATAAGCTGAGAATTTAACTTCCCTTTCAGGAATTGTTCTTCTTTTATCACACTCCATTCCTCTGTCTGCCAGGTTATGGTTGCACAACACAGAAGGCAGAACAGCAGAAGTTTAAAGGAGGAGCATTGCCAGAGGGAGAAAGGGAAACCTAGGCTGCACAAAAAGAAAGCAGCAGTAGCAAACTGACAACTATGAATGTGTGACTGCCTGATTACTGTTAGACAAGATAACTGCACAAGGTGGACTCTTCTTCTCATTTTTGACACAGTCTTAGAGTGGAAGTCCCCACATCCAAAAGCAAGCTCACCACACAGGAATGATTTCTCAGTTCAGGTTGCTGACTTGCGTTCCAGCAGCAGCACTCCTTGTCTCAGGGTTTTCACTGTCAGTGCATATCCTTTAAATATGTGGTGGAAGAGCTGACAAGAAGACGTGTGCCACTGGATCTTATTCTTACAAACAAGGAAGATTTGGGATGTGAAGACTGAGGTCAGCCTTGGCTGCAGAGACCATGAGATAGTGCTCAGGGTCTTATATGGAAGAAACAGGGCAATTATCAGAACTCTGGTCTGAACGTCTAAAGTCCTGGACATCAGGAAAGCCAACTCTGATCTCTACAAAGACCTAGTTAGAGGTATCCTGTGGGTTAGAGCACTAAAAGGAGCCAAGAGAGTTGGTTCAAGCACCACTTCCTCCAAGCTCAAGATCAGCGCATCCCTAAGCATAAAAACCAGGAAAAAGTGGCAGGAGACTCGCATGGATGAGCAAGGAGCTCATGTTAAAACTTAAATGGAGAGTTTAGAGAACATGGAATGTCTGCAGAGTTTGAATCATGAGTTTGAATGGCAGTTCTGACTGCCAGGAACTTGCATTTACTTGGGTTCACTTCACAATCTGCAAAGAGACATCTATGATATTTTTCTTATATTACATTATTCTTTTTTAATTAGAAATACTATATCTTACGCTAGATATACTTAATAGCATCACTTCCAAGCAAGAAAATAAAACCAAAAGCAGGATTTGAAAATCACCTGAGGTGTCGCTGGATGACTGCGTTGCTCAGATGGCTTAAGGAAAATCCCAACTGCCTGTGCAAGAGAGCCATTTGGATTCTGGTAAGCTGCCCTGTTAAGAAATAAGAGAATTATGAACTCTGGGCATTGTACAGAATTTTTTTCAATCCCTTTTTCTTATGGCAATCACACACTAGGGTTTCAGCAACTTTTTGTACATTTGTAATCCTCAGCATACAGAGTTCTAACAGCATCACCAGTGTGCTACAAAGCACAGCAAGAGCCTCTGCCTGAATTCACTAGAGAATATAATTGAGATGCTTATACTATAAAGCTGAGTTCAGTACCCCTGAGCTGCAGTCTTCTCACAAGGTTAAAGGCTCTTCTGTGCACTGTGAACCATGTAACAACAAACAACTTTGAGAATTTTTGGATGTGAACAGCTTCTAATTTAGAAACTAGAGTGACCAGTAAAAGCTATCAGTGTTGCCTACAAGACCAGGCAAAAAGCCAGAGATGCTCTGCAGACTGGCATCAAAGCATCAAAACACAAGCTGCTAGACAAACACAGCTCAACCACCAATGAGGGATTCCCCTTGTACATATACAAGCTGTTGAGCATTGTTTGGAGCCCAACATCTCACTCCTACCAATCTTGCTTTGTTACAGCTGCCCAGAAGGAAAAGCTTCCCATGCCTTCACAGTGCTTGCTCAATCCCAACCAAAACACTACCCTGATCACAGCAGAACCAGGTTACAAGGCTAACCTCTGAGATGACTGTACCCTCTTCCCTAACTGCATCCCTAGTTGCTCCTTAGCCCCATTCTGTCAAATGGATCAGGACCAGCCTGCTGAGTCAGTCACAACAGCTTATCTGATCCCAGCTCACTTTGCCAGACATGGGTTAGGAACAATGACCCAGGCAGCTATGGCAGCACATCCAAGCAACAGCAAGAAGCAGCAAGGATGCCGATGCCATCCTGTTTCAGGCCAGCTCACACAGAGTGAGACTTCTCTCTGACTGCAGCTTGCTGTGTCACAATGCCCACCTAGACCTTGGCAGCATAACCAGCATCTGCCCTGCTTCTCTCCTCTCTAAACACTAAAATTATACGGACCACTTATCTCTCTTTGCTGGTATTGAGCATAAGGCCAAATTCTGGAGTCCTGTGTTGTAAAACTGTTTTTTTTAATAAAGATGACCTAACTTCTCCTTAGAGCACCCTGAGCGAAACATGCATTCTCCCATGTGTGACAAACCATCTCAGCTGTCACCCAGGCAGGTTTGGAATAGATAAAAGCTATAATCAGCACTTACATTTAGTCGATAACAAAGCCACATTTCTGTTGGGCAGAAGATGAAGTCTCCGGATGACTCAGGGTATCTGTTCTGAGCTCACCTCTACCACTCCTGCACTAAAACAAAGACCCCAGGGAGGCTGTATTTTTCAACAGTGCCTCACCTAAAAGTGCAAGCATAGCAAAAAACAAGGCCCTGCAGTATTTACAGTGTCGCTGGCTATCAAGGCCTGATTACCTGGCCTTGCTGTTAGGATTGCTACACAACCTCAGCTTAACTCCCTTGCTGTAATCCTACGCCCTGTGCCAGCAGGTAGAACAGCCCGTGTCCTGTTCTGCACATGGGTGTGCTGCTTCCCAGCACGAAACTCAAACCCAGGGTGCAAGAGTGCTCCTAATTCCTCCAGCAGCACAGCAAGGCCTCGGAGCTCACCAGAAGACCTAAACTAGCAGCACTGCTGAGTCAACCTCTCTATTGCCTCTGAGAGGTGTGTTCTGGGGAGGACACCATCGCCTTCACAGCTGCGTAGGGCTGACAGCCCTGGGCTGCAGGGCAGGGACAGGAACATGCTCTGCCCACTGTCAGAGGGACAGCAACACCACAACCAGCTCAGCGTGCTCAAGGCCATGTGTCAGAGCCCCAGAGTGCTGCCTAAACTGTGAACTCACTACCCAGTCTCAGGAGGAGTCACCGCTTGTTTCTACCCTGTGGCAGCAGTGAAGGTTTGAAGTTACAAAACTTCTGAGTGAAGCATCAACAGTTTAAAGTGTACAAGGACTGTTTATTTTTCCACATGACTCAGTATCCCTTCGCTGCTAGGAATTATTCCTCAGTATATTAAGATGTGTCATAAACTAAGAAACTCTGAGTGATTGATTACTTGGAATGCAGCATCCTGTTCGGAATTGAGTAAACAGAATATTTCCAGTGTGCAAGAAGGTTCAGGGCAGAAGGAAGAATGCTTCTGTGGCAAGGAGCCCAGCACGCAAGGAAGGGTGCAAGTGGGTTTCTGAACAATGAATCATACCCCTAACTGTAGGAACAAGCCAGCTTCCCTTCCAGACACAGCCTACCCTTTGGGTCTGGTTCCAGCACTCCTCAGTGTGGCCCAGTTCTACCTCATTCCCTCTGTGGCTGGAACAGACACCTGATCTCCTTTGCCCTTTGTTTTGCCCACTGTGGAGGAGCTAAGACCAAACTAAACTTGCAAGGGCAGAGAAGTCATTCACTGCAGCACAAGCACTCAGAGCCGGTGCCAAAGGCTGAATGCTACTAAGGAGATGAAAGTCCCCTCCTTTCCAGAGCTGATGTTGTCTCACACTTTCTGAAGAAGGCTGTGCTTAGCACATGCTTGGGGAATGCACATGACCTGGGATTGCTCCCAAAGGTGGATCTCCGATTGTGGCCCCTTATCCAACTTCACTGCTCAGAATCACATGGTAAGAGTATCCCTATAACCATTATAACCATAATCCAACCAGGAGCATGTGTGCACTAACTCCTAGGAAGTCTGCTGTTGGTATTGCCCAGCTGATGGAGGAGTGCACTCTGCCGTAGCCTGGACAGGAGAAATAGCACTGGTGCTTTGCATTTAGTCACTCATGTGCTCCTGATCAAGGAATTACCTTGGAGGAGACTTTTGGAGGTCAGCTAGTCCAACTTCCAGCTCAAGGAGGATTAACTTCAAAGTCGTTCATATGAGGCAAGAGTAGTATTAAAAAGCACCTCAGTTTTAGCAGTGGCTCTTTCTCATGGCTGGAGAGACTCAAGTTCTTGAAATCCAAATCTTAGAGGCACACAGCTTCTTCCTGCTCCACAAACCAGTTAAAAATTCACCCAGAATTCAGACTGAGTTCAGATTCTGAAAAGGGGGAGGAGTCTGCTAATCAGATACTCACTAGGGTGACCCAATTTCTACTTCACTGAGTCAGACTCAACACGCAATAACTCGCTATGGCAAACACTCCCTTCTCATCTCAAGGACCCTTCAGCATTACCACATCCAGTGCAACAGACTGACATCAAGTTCAAAAACCACACCACAAAGGGGCTCTTCATTAGTTTCACACTTCTGGGAGTTATTTACCCACCGCACCATTTTCAAGTACCATATTAAAGCCACTACCTTCACCACCTTCCCAGATGGTTAAAGAAGTGATTTATATTTACCACAGGCTAAAGCTCCAGCATACTTGTTAGAATACTGGCTCCAGCATTCTTGTTAGACAGTACTGTTTGTAGCCTGATTGCATGAATGCCAGAGCAAGAAGATGTGGCAGAACACTGGCAAATCTCCCTTCACTTACATTGGGAGAGCAGCTCGAGAGATTCTGATGAGAGAAGAATCTCTTCGATTTCAGCAAAAAATACAAATGCATCTCACAACACTCAGTATCAATCTGCTCTACTAATATAGTCATGGGAGCACTAAAAACATCTGTCTGAACACTCAATGGAACAGTGAAACAGCTCTGACCAAGCTTTTAATCAATGGTGCAAAGCCTAAAACCCAGTTAAGATGTCATTCTTATTTTGCCTGCATCCTAGAGTAGAAGTACTTTTAAATAATGCTATTAGCTAGCAATCCAGTATGGCTTTCCTTTTTAATGAGAAATCAGAAATGACATCTGCTCCCTGCTCCCCCTGAAGAGCTGTAGTTCCACAATCATTCAGTTATTTCTATTTCAGCTTGTAACTCACCCACACAAACAGGCCACAGGGAGAGTCAACGGATGTGCAAAGCAAGTCCTGAGGCCAAAAGCTGCTGTCAAAATACAAAGTGATCTGAACCGTCAAATAGTGGGGGCCAGCATTCTAAGAGATGAAAAAAGACACGCTCTGGGCACCACAAAGATTTGACCTGCATCTGCCATCTATTATTAAAATACAGGAAATAAATCCAAGACAATATGTGCAATGCAAATACCCAAACCCCTACTTGGGCACGATGGGTTTATTTATGGAATGCCTGTCAGGGTGTGCTGCAAGAGGCAGAAGAGAGTTGTGGGGTCGATCCATTCATGGCCATCCTCGTAAAGGAAGCGATGTGATTAAGGGCTTGGGTATGTTAAAAATACACAAGATACCCATTACCAAGACAACTGGTTTTGCACTAATGACAGGCAGAAAGGCCAAATTCACAAAGAGGAATTAAGTCTTCATGAATTCCATTTATGAGTAGTATTAGCTATTAAACAGGGTATTTATTGATCTGAGTTACCAACAGCAACTCATTGCAGGTACATCTGCTAAAAGCTCTCCAGTGAAACATGCTAACCTCATTTGCACAATCAGGAAAAGCAGATAAAAAGAGCTTTAATGGAAAACTTACTTTAGTTATTTTAAATACCCAGAAGTCCCAGCTCTAAGGTACTTATATCTGTTCCAGTATCCAAGCACATTAATACATTACATACGTTCATATCCACAGTGCTGTACTAAAATAGCAATGGACTGTTCCCAGTGTATCACAGAATCATAGAATGGCCTGGGTTGAAAAGGACCACAGTGATCATCCGGTTTCAACCCCCCTGCTACATGCAGGGTTGACAACAACCAGACCAGGCTGCCTAGAGCTACATCCAGCCTGGCCTTGAATGCCTCCAGGGATGTGACATCCACAGCCTCCTTGGGCAACCAGCAGGAAATTAAGCCAAAGAGAGAACTTCCTAAGGTCAAAGGAAAAGGGTGACAGAGTAGATTTCCAATCCCAGAAGCACTCATGTGGTCTGTGGGGATGGAGGCAAAACCTGTCCTCGCTAGTGTCTTTTGGAGTCACACATAAATTGAGAGAACAACTTGCAGACCACTATCTCACTGCTACTATCTCCTTTTGGTTGCATCTCCACTACATCTAAAAGCACTGAGGTCTCAGAACAGGACCACAGACAGCAAGCCACAAGCCCACATCCTGTTTGCAGCCGCAACCTGTGTGACCTAATCCTAACCAGCAAGGCGTGATCACCAACTCGCAAGCACTGAAGTGTGATGGCAGGGAAAAGGAGCCAAGCAAGAAGGAGAAGGTGGGGAGTGGCAGCTCCATCATTAAGAAAAAGAACACAACAGAAGTCAGGAACCACTGACCTAGGTCAGCTGTCCACAGAAAGGTGAATGCTAGTAGCTCTCTTCGAAAGGAACTGCTCCAAAGGAGGGTTTAGGGGGCTAAGCAGCAGGGCCCAGGCTGCACACACACTTCCCGAGTCCCCACAGCACGCAGCACCGCTTGGTCCACGCTGCACATCAGGGCACAGGAATCCCACTTCCATCCCGCCATGCAACCACTCATAGCCTAACCCTGGCAGCACGGTCCCCAAAGGATCCCGAAACGAAGAAAGCGTTCCGGAGGACACGGCGGCCGCGTGTAAGCGCCAGAGCAGCCTCCGCGTTTCCCTCCTCCCCGGCCCACGAGGATCGGCGCAGGCGGCATCTGCACAAGGCGCCATCTGCACAAGGCCGCAGCCAGGCCCGCCCGGAAGGCCTAAGGATCGGCGACCTCCAGCACCGGCGGCGACAGAGACGGCTGTTCCCACACAGCCACCGCCGGACGCCGGACGCCGGACGCCCGCGCCGCGCCGCGCCCCGCCTCGCCCCCAGCCCACCGACCGCCCCCACACCCGCCGCGCACCTCAGCGGCACCGCGGCCCTCCGCCCGCCGACAATGCGCACGCGCGCTCCGCCGCCCGCAGGCCCCGCCCATCGCTGTGCGGTGCCGAAGCCACGCCCGCTCGAGGCCGCGCCCCGCCCCGAGCCCAGCCGAGCCGAGCCGATCGTTCCCTGCCGTCGCGGCGTAGCGCAGCGCGGTACCGCAGCGCCCGGCGGGGCGGCGGCAGCAGCAGCCCGGGAGCCCGTCCGCGCCTGACGCAGGGTAAGCGGTGCGGCATCGCAGGGAGCGGCGAGGCCGGCGGGAAGGGCTCGGGGAAGGGGGGAGGAAAGGAGGGCGGCGAGGCCGGCTGGGGCGGGGGGCTGCCATCTTGGAGTGGGGAGAAGCCCGCGGCCGCGCCGGGCTGCGCTCGGGCGGCGAGCGGCGCGGCTACGGCCCGCCCGGGACGGGCCCCGTGCTGAGCGCGGCAGGACGAAGCTAGGACCGCGGGGCCGTTCGCTCCGTCCCCTCCCCGTGCGCTCGGCCCCGCGTCGGCCTCGCGGGGTGTTCGCTGCCCGCTGCTGCGGTGTCTTCTGGACGGCCCCGCGGGTGCCCCGCCCGTACGTGGGACGAAGCTCCGCGGGCCTCAGGCTGCGAGCGCACCCCCTTCCAGCCCCCCGCCTTAATGCTTCCAGAGCTCGCGGAGCTGAGCGCTGGCCTCGGAACCGGCTGCGGGAAGGCTCCGTGCCTATCGGAAATAATAGCAGTGCTTTAAAGACGTGGATCCTATTGACTGCATTTAGCTGGCGTCCGCCTGGGAGGGTCTTTCTCGTGCCGGGCTCTTTTACGGTCCTTAAGGGCTGGGGCCCACCTGCAGCCCTCACCTGGGTGTAGAAGCGTGATGGAGATGAGGCTGGGAGCAGGCTCTGCTTGGGCTCAGGGGTGTGCTTGGTTGCCCCAGGTTTGTTCTATTTCCAGCCGCTGGTAACCTTGGGAGGAACTGAGGCTACTCTGTGTTCTGAGGTGTCGATTTTCCTGTTGGGAGTATTGCTCTGAGCCTTGCGATGCTCCGGTTTCTTCCCCTTTGACCGGAGCGTGGTGTCACTGTCATGAAGCATCCCGGGGTCAGGAGTTGAAGCAGCAAAAGGAAGGTGTCGAGCTATGTGCTGCTGTTGTCTTCTCGCTCAGGCTTTCACAGTATCAAGAAAATGGCCTGGAAACGGGCTTTCTTCTGATAAATGTTTATACAATAAAGTAGGATATGCTTCTTTCTAAGAACAAGGATGCAAAGAACGTCTCTGTGAGTGTGAGACCTGCAGCAGAAACCTGTACACCAATGGCCTGTCTTTCCTGTCTTGTAGTCGTGCTTTCAGTGAGCGAATGGCACTGAGTGGGGCCCTGCCAGCTGCCCACATTGCCTCCTGCACCCTTGGCATGGTGGTTTTGATCTCAGTGTGCATTCCTTCCATCAGTGCCCATCCTTGCGATGGGGTCTACGAGGGGCTGCAGCTCCCAGGCAAAGGAGGCCCCTGTGTGTGGTGTTGTGCTGCCTGCAGGCAGCACGATTAGGGATCCGATGGCGGATTTGCATATCAAAGCATCAGCTTTGTTCTGATGACGGAGGCGAGGATGATGGTGGGGCTCACTGGAGAGCGGGCTGGAGCTTTCCCAGAGCTTTTTTGGTGCAGAGATGAAGTGAGAGTATGGGGATGTTTGGAGAACGTGTTTGTTTCCACGTCTGTTAAGACCTTCTTTAATTAACAGCTGTTTTCCGGGGGGTGGGAACAAAGGAGAGGGGCCACACCTCTCTCTCGGACCCGAAGCCCCTCTCCCCTCCCATAGGCACCTGCCCTCGGGTGAGTCTGCGTTTCCTGCCTGTGCTGGGCTGCATCTCCATCCCCATGGCAACTGAGCCGAAGTAGCCTTTCCCCGTGGCACCGGGTGTTGCACTGCCCTTCGACAGCCCAGCCCCGTGGAAGGGACATGGAGGTGCTGTGCCCCAAACTAGGCACGCAGTGCCGGGTCTGGCCCGATGGCGGAGGTGGCAGGGAAGGGAGCGGCTGGGCTGTGTCCGTGGGGATGCTGCGTGACTCAGAGGAAGGCCTTTGTCTGGTGTCAGATTGGTGCCTCCCGCTCCTCCCAGCTCCCCCGAGGCTCTGCTGGAGCTGAGAACACAGAAAGCAAGTGCCTGTGTGCAAGCATGGCTCTGCTTTCATCCCTGGTCAGTGTGATGGCTGCAGCCATTGCGAGCGGCAGTTTTTGCACTGACACATTGTGAGCTCCAGTAGGGACCCCTGGTGCTCTTGGTGCAGTCCAGCTTCTGGCCCCTGCAGCCCCAGGTCTGTGAGTATGCCTGCTGGCTTGGTTGCTTTGATTGTGCTCTGGCTATGATGGATGGATTCCTGATAAATATGAGTAAATAAAAAATCCAGGAATTATTTTTTGTGTGTGTGTGTGAGTACACACAGTGCAAGAGAGAGAGGGCAAGATTTGTGGTGCTGGTACCAGGCCTGTGAAGCAGAGGCTCACAGTGTGAAATAGCTTTTCTGTGAGGCTGCAGGCCTGTGGTTGGCACTGCTCTCTGCCCTCTGCTCCAGATCAGCTGCAGGAGGCGGAGGCTCCCTTGCAAAATGTGAGATGTGAATGCTTTTCTCCGTGTGTCTCTGCAGTGTTTGCTCCTTTTTGCTAGGTACTCTCTATGTGCATGTAATTGCTAAACAGTACTGCAAATGCTTCTGTTTTCCTCACTGCTCCTGCATGTCAAAGAGTCATAGAATGGCTTGGGTTGGAAGGAACCTCAAGGATCATCAAGCTTCACCCCCCCTGCATCGAATACTACATCAGACTGCCTGGGGCCCCATCCAACCTGGCTTTGAACACCTCCAGGGATGGGGCATCCCATGTCGATGCTGCCTGCCTATCTCCCAGCTCTGCCTCCACAAGTTTGTAGTTGCTTAGTGCTGGCAAGGTGGGGATCCTGCTTGCAGAACTTTCTGCATCTTCCAAGCTAGGTCTCCTGTCAGCACCTGGAGGCAGTGGCTGCAGGCAGGGCTCATGCCTGTCTCTGCTTGCTGTCTTCTGCAGACATTTCCTAAGCTTCCAAAACCCAGCAGCCACCAAAGAGCCCCTCATTTTCCCTGCCTGAAGAAGGTACTGTGAGCTTCCACTGCCTTGTTTTTCTTGTCCTGCTCTCACCTTTGCTTCTCCCCTTTTCCCTGAGGGTTCCTGCGCTAAATTCCTTGCAGACCTCAACTCTGAGTAGCAGCCAGTGGGGCTCTAGCTTGCACTTGGTGCTTTCACGAATTAAACAGTGGCTGTTGGTAGGCTCTATCTCTTGTTCCTTCAAAGCTGGGGAATGAGACAGTCTTGGTACTGTCTGTTACTTAGAGGAAACCCAGATGGCTGCAGGCCTCATCTCCTGCTTGAAGCAGTCATCATCAGCTGGTGTCTTCTGTTTGAAGGTCAGGCAGAGCCTTGTAGTACTGCAGGGCTGGGGAGGGTATCTGCTTCTGACTTGATAATAAACCTAGTGCCATGGGTCTAGGGAAGGTCTTAAAACAGATGCATCCCTCAGCTCTGTACTTGTTATCTAGCTTCCCATTGTATGAAACACTGGGCTCTGGTGTTGCTGGTGAGGCAGACATCTTCCCTGGGGTGACTGTGTTCAAGCTGGTGATTTGGTTTGGCTGGGCTTCTCTCTATACTTGAGGCATAGACCTGCTAACAAATTACCGTGTGCCTGTTACACCGCGGTAACTGCCCAAGGGTTTGTTGTTACTCACTGTAGAAAAGCAGTTCACTTGACATGAGTTGCAACATTATGAATCTGGAGGAAGGAACTGAATTTGTGCTGGACACAAAACCATGTGAAGACTGGCTGCAGCAGGAGGGTCATTGCTGTTGGACAAAGCAAAGAACTGGCTGAGTGGAGAAGAACAAATGCAAGGTGACAGTAAGTAGGAACTCTGTCTTCACCTGGAACAGAAGGTCAAGGGTGATGAGGGATTTAGAGGAATTAATTTTAAAAAGTGAATCCAAGCACAAGTGAAGTAAAAACAGGTGATGACCATTTAGGTCAATTAGATGTAATCAAGTGGACAAAGCTTTATGAAATTCACCTGAGTACTTAATAAGCTAGGGCAGTTTTTGTGTGGTGAGCAGCCATGCTGAAGAACACGTAGCAGAGGAAAATCTCAAGGTTTGATGTATAGGGGGAAAGAATAGGGCTACAACCAGGTAGTCTAAATAAACTGGAATAAATGGCTGAGCAGCAGTGTCTGTTGTGCTAAGAGAATATGCTGATTTTGAAAAGCCACCAATGTATTTTTGCCTGGACAATACTGCATCACATCAGTCAGTTCCCTTGCCCAGAAGGATGGCTCGCCTAGCAGCTGAGCGGGGGCGATGGATGTTATAGATCCTAACTTGAGTCAGCCTCTGTCACTGGCCCATGTGTCAGCCTCATAAACAAATGGGGAAAGGGTGGGAGACGGGAAGCATCCCTCAGCTGGATGTGCGACTGGTTGAAAGCTGCATTCAAAGTGCAGGTTGATAGCACTTCTCCCTGGCAGGACACCCTGCCTAGGGCAGAGGCAGGGCTGGGGGAAATGTTGGTGTAACCAGGATTTGGGAGTTGGATGAGTTAGCGCTTTGCTGGGGAGGGGCACACAGCACAAGCCTTGTGCCAGGCTGTGTTGGGAGTGTCACCTCTAAGGTGCAGGAAATAATTACTGCTATCCCTGACATAGATGGGGGATTACTGAGGCAATAGGCTCAGATCCTTGGAAGGATGTGCACAAACAAGAAAAGTGTCCAGCAGTGCAACAGAAACGATGAAGGTCTTTAGAAATACAGTGTGGGAG